TGAGAAAGGTATAACCCAAGCTGCCCTGGAATTTCCCAATTTTTTCCCAGTCACTGGAGTACTAGGATGACAGCTGTGCACTGCCACACTCAAGCAGTCTATTTATTTTTAATGCCAATAGTCCATGATTTTCCTGGTGTTCTCCAGAACATGTAACACAAATCTTAAATGGTCTTATTAATAGACAAAACCCAGAGACAGATACTGGTATAAAAGCTGAAAGATCAGAGAAACAGAACAAGCCATGGCCAGCTCCTGAGGCAATCCTGTTTCCACGAATCCTCAGACTGAAAGCCTCTGAGTCCTCACCCCTGAGGGTCTCAGTTGAACTGCTCTTTAGTTCCTCCCCCCTCATGCCATTTATACCTTTCTGTGCCCTGCCATCTTTCTTCCTCTCTCTGTCCAGCTACCTCACTTCCTCTTTCTGACCAGCTCTATCACTTCCTGTCTGTCTGTATTGACCTCCAGACCTCTATGGTTAACTAGTATTGGGATTAAAGGCCTGTGCCACCACACCTGGCTCTGTTCCCTTCCAGTGGGGCCTGTAACTCACAGAGATCTGGAAGAATCTCTTCCTCCCGAATGCTAGGATTAAAGGCATGTGCTACCTACCACTGCTTGACCACTGTGTTTAATATAGTGGCTGGCTTTTTTCCTTTGATGGATCCCCAGGCAAGTTTTACTTGTTAGAGCACAAAGAAAACACCACCAACAAGAACCCTGGCACAAAAGGGACCAGACAGAGAACTACTGATCAGGTTCAGGATTTGCACTCCGGGACTGAGGACAGAAAATTGAAGGTTGTTTTTTTGTTTGTGTGTTTGTTTGCTTGTCGTTTTTTTAAGTTTTGCCATACACTTTTTTTTAATTAATTAATTGTCTATTCACTTTACATACCAATCACAGATCCCTCCTCTTCCCTCTTCCCAACCCCAAGCCTCCCCCAACAACCCACCCACTTCTCCACATTTTCCCAATCAAGGTCTCCCCTGGGGAGTCAGCAGAGCCTGGGGCACTCCAAGAGATGAGGTAGGTCCAAGACCCTCCCCTCTGCACCAAGGCTGAGCAAGGTGTCACACCCTAGGCTCTGGGCTCAAAAAGTCCACCCATGCACCAGGGACAGATCCCGATCCCCCTACGTGGGGGCCCTCCAAACAGTTCACACTAAACAACTGCCTCCCTTATCCAGAGGGCCTAGTCTAGTTCTATGTGGTCTGCACAGCTATTAGTGCACAGATCATGGGTTTCCAGGAGTGTGGCTGGTTACCTCTGCACATTTTCCCCTGGACATTGCCTGCCCACAGAACGCCCACCTCCCCTAACCGCTCTCCTTGATCAGATGCCCAGAGTTCAGCCTGGCCCCCGGCCGTGGATCTCTGCATCTGCTTCCATCAGTCACTGTATGAAGGCTCTGTGATGAGAGCTAGGGTATACACTAGACTGTCGCCCGAGTAGACCAGTCAGAAAAATGGTGCTAGCATGACTGGATGTCATCATGCAGAAGACTGCAAGTAGATCCATATCAGTCACCATGCATAAAACTCAAGTCCAAGTGGATCAAAGACCTCAACATAAATCCAGTTACACTGTCCTTGATAGAAGAGAAAGTTGGAAGTGGTCTTGAATACATTGGCACAGAAGACCACTTCCTAAATATGACACCAGTAGCACAAATACTGAGAGCAATATGGCATTTAATCATATTATAATTTATAATAACAACAAATGAGGTAACAATACAGTAAGAAATCCATAAAAACACTAACATACTGGGTTTACATCTTCCGAGGATCACATGGGGCCAGTGGAGAAGAAAGGCCTGACAGAGGGATGACGGTGCCAGGAGCATATTTGTGTATGAGAGAACTCTTGGCAATGTTCAGGAAACTTAAACTACCCTCCTCACAATCGAGAAACACACCAATCCAGTCCAGTGGTTTCTCTATATAGTGCTAAAATACTGGGCATGTGGTGAGGAGACTGTAATGATCACCCTCCTTCACACACACCAGAAGAAAGGCACCCTCAGATTCAATGAGCTGGTTTCTGTTGCTTATCCAGGAATCCTTACAGACCCCCACAGCCCAGTTCCAGGAATTGTTCAAATCTAGCTCCCAGTAATATTTCCCTGTGATGATGCAGTCTGATCCCCAGGAAGCCAAATAGGATGTAGCAGAATCCACAGATCTATCCTCACCGTGAAGTCTGAAGCTGCATCTTCTCATGACATTGAAGAGCTTCACATTGTCAGGGCAAAAGCTTGTAAATTCAAAGACAAAGTTGAATAGGAAGTGGCTGTACCTTTCAGTCAGTCCACTGACGGGTAGAGAGCTGAGCTCTAGATTCATAATCTGGGGCATGCTCAGCTGCTGCTGCATTGACTCACTCCTCCTGAACATGTCATCCAAACCCTGGAGCAGTAGCTCATGTGGCTCCTGGGACATTGCCATCAGCTCCTGATACATTTCTCTTAGCTGTTGGTTCTTTTGGTCCATCAAGGCTTCTCTTCTCCTGAGCTTCTCTAAAACTTGTTGGCCTTCATTTTGCATAGACTCAATATGTTGCTCTTCCTCTTGATCCTGGACAGGACACATTCTCCTGTACTCTGCTCTGACCATTTGCTCCAGCAGTGTCAAGTAGTCTGTCCATAGACTTGTCTTTCTGTTCTCTGCCTCTATATTCTCTTTATTTTCTTGGATCTTTTCCCACAAAGATGCCATTTTCTTTAAG